AAAGGAGAAGTCAACACTTTGGGCATTACGCTTCTTCAGGGGTGAAGAGGGGTAATACCCGAAACGGTGATAAGTCCTGAAGAAAGGAAATACCCAAAATGTTGACTTCTCTTTTCCTCCAGATGCTGCCTGGCTTGCTGTGTTCTTCCAGCCTCCTGTTTGTCTACCCTGGATTCTAGCACCTGCAGTATTTTTTTTTGTCTCTAACTACGAAATGGACGACGGTCATATGTGAAATAAGGGACATTTGGATGTCTAAATATTGGGAACAAGTAACCAGTGAGGGGAAACATTCTTACTTCAATGTCAAACAAAATACAGCAAAATAATGTAATTTTAACATACATTTTAGTTCTGTGTGATGATACTATGGCTTTAAAAGATGTATTTTGTCTTAGTTTTTTTTGAAGAGATGCTTTGAGTCAGAGATTCCAAGCTGTCTTTTAAAAGCCAATAAAGGAAACAGCTTGAGATGCGCTGGATTGTTTTTCTACAAGGAACAACAATAGGAGCAGCATGAATGGGTGGAATCAGGTTCCCACAGAACCTGGGTTTTAGTTTAGCTTCCAGTAGTTGGTGGGGTTTTGAAGTTGGTTGTGGAAGCTGCCATACCACTCTCTCTACCAGAGTTTTTTTTTCCTGAACTGGAGAAGCATCACACATGACAATCTACTTTACTGAATTTGCCTTTGCCAAGGGCATGTTTATGGGATGTTACCATGCTGGAATAGTTGCTGTTTAGTACCTAAATAAATCTATTATTCTGCTAATCTTTCCAATAGAGTTACAATTATGACAATTCTTCTTTCTTTTGTATGTATTTTAACTTCAGTATAAGAATAAGGTGTGCATTGCTTAAAGTCTAGTAGTGTGACCAATCAAATCACATCTGAAATGTAGCACCTTATACTTGCCTGTAAATAAAAGTTAGGGTCTAGGCTACTTCCTTTATACATGTTGGAGGGTTTGGTCTGGTCTATAACAAACACACCCAGTCTTTCTGTTACTTGACTACTATTAAACTATTTTCTAATAGGCCCAACTTTAACAAACAAAACAAAGTTACTGAAATAAACATTATGTTCAGTCACTTCTAAATCCTACCATTTACTTTAGAAGTGGAATTTATGTTTGAAAAATTCTCTTCCATTCTGGTGAAGATAACATTTCAAGGGCTGATCTTATTCAAGTGGTAGGAGCATCGTGATGGACAATCACAATAGGATGAAAAAAGGTGAATCTATGATAAGCCAAAGTAGCAAAGGTTGCTGCAGGACAAAGCTCCTGTGCAGATTCTAAAAGACTTAGAGATGCTTTCCCATCTTTTAACCCTTGTAAATGATATCCTCCCGCACCCCCACCACCACCATTTCTGATTCAATTGACTAACACGTGCTATTGTCATTGAACTAGCAGTCCAGAGGCCCAGATTAATGTTTTGGCAACATAGGTTAAAGTCCAATAATGGCAGCCAGTGCAATTTAAATTCGTTTAATAAAGCTAGACTCAATAATTGTGCCATGAAACTACTACTGCTTATTGTAAAAACCTATTTGGTGCACTAATATCCTTTAGAACAGAATACTTTCCAATCCTACCTGCTCTGGCCTATGTGACTCCAGATCCATTGCACATAGTTGATGCTTAACTGCTCTGTGAAATAGCACAGCAAACAATTCAGTTTAAGGTCAATTAGGGATGTGCAAAAAACCCTAGCCTTGCCACTAACGTCCATATACCATGAAAAAGAGCTAAAATACATGTTTCCTTAGTTTCATCCTTTTATGTAAAACACGGGTGCTGATGGCCTGCAGCAACTAGTTTAAAAATGAATTCAAACCACAGTTTACACCAAAGGACTCCAGTTTTTATGGATATTGCTCTGCTGATGGTTGTGAAGAGTTAGTTCACTTCCCTCACATATACTCTCTCTCAGCCAGTCCCTACAATTATAATTAGCATTTTTTGATTAAACTTAAATAATCAGGAAACAAAAAAATTTAATGATAATTCATATTATGCTTTTAAATGGAGTCTTTGTGATTCACTTTAAACCATTTGAAACTTAAGAGCAATGACACATGGTACAAGATTACTAAACAAGTTATTCTTATAATGAGGATTATAAAAGTACAAGTCTTTCATTTACAAACATCTGATCCAAAAATGGCCCAAACAATGCATGAAAGAGAAGCAATGTAATTTACAGAGTTTATTAAAATGGTTTATTTAAAATAAACAAGATAGCAATACATGATATTTACAAAACTATTCTGAATGCTATGACTTCAACTTCCAGTTTCAAATAACATCACATTTTCTCAAATTCGGATTTTGAGTATTTTCTAACCCTCAGTTTACTTCTTCTTAACATAACAGTAAGCACAGGTTAATCCACACAAACTAAGGGATACATTTCAATCACGAGGGCTGCTATATGTCCAGGGTCCCACTCCAGTCACTGTATTGTCGCTCCTCCCTTGTTCTCTAACAGGGTGCAGATCAGCAGGTACCGAAAGCCAACTAGTATTGTACTCTGGTTACTGTTCACCACATGAGAGACCAGACCAGAAATCAAGTCAAACATAAATTTGATACTGGGAAACATATAGGAGGTTAACTACATTTGTATGTCAAAAGACAAGCATGATATTTGGGGTGTGTATCTTTCATCATCTTGTTTTTGTTTTCTGATGCTGACATGCACTGTTCTATGTGTGCTGCAATTTTTTTTTTAAACAACTGCAGCGTTTTGATTTTCCAGATCTCAAATTAATGACTGGACTAGGACAATACCATTGTCCAATGAGCTATTTGAGGAAGTATTATTAACATTTCTGACACTTGGAAGTACTTTGAGCATAGATGGGAATGACAACAATAAACAAGGAATAAAATCTTAAACAAGAGTTAAAAATCACCATCATAAGTTTTCATGTATTATAATACTCCTTTTTTACCTGTTTATTTATACGTTGCAACCTCACACAAATGGGAGTAATCCAAGTGAACAAAGACATTTACGTTAGGGCAGATATTTGACAGATAGGATGGATTTAGTTTTGAAAAGCTTGAATACTGAGCTGTATATTTTCTAAGAGGCTATCTGCCAAGAGTAAACTTGGTACATTTATCAATCAAATGCTATTCTTTTCTCCTTGGTTGCAAATGAGTTACAACCTTGAGATATTTCCAAAGCATGTTGACGAAGAACTGCTTCAATCATAAACAGAACAAACTATCATTATAGCAGACTTTATCCCAAAACAATGCGACAGAATATTCCACACAAGTGAAAGAGGCTTCAGTGTTTGTGATCATTCGAAAAGATAATTCTACAGTCACACAAACTATACATGGGTCCTTCACAATGGCATAATATTCCAAGTAACACACCATGATGCAATATCTACTTTTATCAGTAGATATTTTGATTTTGCCCTCTAGGTTTTGAAAAAGAAAAGACAAATTGAAATAATTATGGCTATAAGCATGGATTTAAATCTAACACTTTCCCTCAAAATAATCTGCCACTCTCCAACCAAAAGGCCAGGTTCATAATCTTCTAAGAGACCCTTGGAACAATTTCTGATCGCCAATGGGTTGTAAGAGAGTTGCTCAAAGCAAATGCTCTTCTGCGTATTATTTTCTTGTCATAGATATTTGTATGGACTCTGCCATAGATGAATTCCTGTACAATCTACCATTCTAAAGCACTATATAACAGAATGCTGGTGAATTATACCATGCATCCGTACCAAATGTTCTAACCACACATTGTATTTTACTCTAATGTATCACACTGTCAATGTTCAAGAAAGGTTGGACATTTTAGTCATACTCACACAAACTATCATTCATCATGGTGATCCTACTCAGAGCCACAACAAAACTGCCAACACTCCTTTTGTCAACAGACAACCTGGTCAAGTCTAATACAACTTACTCTAAGAAAAACTAATAACCTCTCACTTGCACCAACTATTTCAGCCAATATAATGGCTTGAGTGGACTTTCATACCATACCTTAAAACGTGATTTTTTTTCATGACAACACAGACACAAGTAGTATTTGCCCCATGTCAATATTACCCAAACATTTTGCAGTGGGTGACATCCGATCTGCAAGTTCAATAAAATACATTTACGACCACACGTCCTAACCTCCCTCACATACAGCACTGCCAATCTGAATTTAAATCAGCTGCTTCAGCTCCTAACTTAAACACAACAGAAACAAGATTAGACAGATTCGCATACAATACACCATACTGCGCGCACTGAAAACTACAGATTTAACCAAAGAAAATCTGTCGCGAACCACGCATACTGGGATCGCTTTACTAAAAAAAAATCAGGCAACAAATCAAACACAAACTAATTCCAAAGAAACAAAAAAAAAACAAAGTTGTATCGAAAACTGGGAAAACTCTTTGGAAGTAAAAGACTTGGCTTCATTTTGCTCGCTACCTCCGGAAACTAGGATTTTTTCAAGAAAGGGTCCCCTCCCCCCGAACACCTATCGGACTCTCTGTAACAGAAAATTCCCGATGTTGGAAGCTGTCCCAAATCCTTGCTGTCTTCCCACATTCCCATCAGGCCGGAGACAGGGCGGTTCACTCCCTCCCACCGCTTCCCCACCAGCTCCATTCCTCCCCTCCCCAACCAGGCACCACTTCAACAACTCTCGATTACTCCTTCCCCCACCCCAGACAAAAAGAAAACACCTTCCAAAATGTACCCCAAAAGTAAAAACACGCACTCACCCCCAGCAGCGCCTCCTCCCCGAAGCGGTCTAAATCCTGCACCCGCCACGATCAATGATCCTTTCGGGTAATATTTATACAAATATCCAAATTGCAATCCACCCGCGCTACTAATCTCCGTCTGTCTCTCTCTCTCTGTGTCGCTCCCCTCACAGGCACGCGCCCGTTCGCTCTCGCTGCGCGCGCTTCCAACCGCCCCACCTCGCGCACGTCCCTCACGAGTGTCATCGAGCGCACGCACGTACACACACCATCCACCTTCGACCCCCTACCAAACCCACAACCAAATATGCCGGAAATAGGCGTCGAAAGACTGTTAATTGGCGGGCAAGAGAAGATGAGATGGAGTTAGCGCGTTGGGACGGTTTGGAGGGAAAGTAGTCGGAGAGGTTGGTTCGCACCCATCGTTAAAGCCCGCTGACTGTTTTCTCGCCGGCGGTCACGTGACGAACGAGGCGGCTGGGATGACGGTTAGAAGAGATGTCGGGTGTGTGTCTGCGAGGAAGAAATGGATGGTCGGGAATGTGGGTGGGAAGAAAGGTGAATTATTGAAGGATCATTGGGGTGGAAAGGTGTGGTTGACGGGGCCTGTGAGGCAGAGTTGTGGGAGGAAGGTATGGTCCGGAAGGGGGGGTGGGAGGTAGGGCTGGTAGGAGAAGTGGGGAGGAAGGTGGGGGTGGCGGAATTGGGACAAGGGATAAGGTAGGGCCACTGGGTGGGGGTGGGGTCTTGGGCCGGTTCGGAAGGGAAAGAGGATGGTGTAGGGTCGTTGGGATGGTAGTGGGGAGAGAGAGAGAGAAGAGTGGGGGGGGAGGGGGGGAGAAGGTACGGCCAGGGTGGGGAGGGATGGAAGTGTTGGGTCAGTGTTGGAGTAGAATGGATACAGGAAAGTACCTTTTTTGGGGGTGTGGAGAGGAAAGAGAACCTGTTGCGTGGTTGTTGTGGTGAACAGATCTTGAGGTTGTGAATTGGCAAAAGAAAACTTGTTAGGTGAGCATGGAATAGAACCTGTTCAGGTGTGGTGTGGGGATTGACAAAGAGAACCCATTGTGAGGCAGCGGAAGAGAAATCTGTGGGGTAAAATTGTTTGGAGTTTGGGAGGAAAAGAGAACCTGTTGGGGTTGTGGGGTGGAGGAAAATTAATCTGGTTGGAGAATGCAAGGATTGGTGTTGGAGTAGACAGCACAGAACTGGGCTGGGGAATTTTGGCAGGAACGGTGAGAGATCACGGGTGGTTTGAGGTGAAGGGTTCAGGCAAGAGACCTTTTCTGGGGTCCTTTCTCATGAAGGAGATTTCCCAGACTCAAGTAACTAGAATCCCCATCCTTCAGTGGCCACAGAATGGGCTTTTGCACATCTGATTGTTGGTTGCATCACTAGGCTGCCACAAACTCCAGAGCACAAGTTGACATTGCCACTTAATGGACTATTAATTATTCCTAATCTAAGTGTACATAAGCTCAGTGTACATAACCAACTGTTCTACTAATGTGCCAAGTGGTTCCTTTTCTAAGTGATCTTTATCTGCCATAAACTACTGTATCAATCTTCCACAAATTTTAATCTTGGTGCTGTCTGGCTTTTTCCTAGTGTGTGCCCCATCTTAGATTTTATATGATGCTGGAGTAAAGATTTTGGGGGTTTGAGTTGAGGGGGCTGGGTGAAAGCTCCTTTTATTGAGTTGGGATGAGGGGGATCAAGCTTTAGTTCTTGAACTGGGATTGAGGATGTAAGAGTTGAACATGGGAAAGGTTGGTGAAAAGGTGGCATTTCGTCTAAATGCCTTGAACACCTTGCTGCTGACAAGGCTGGATCTTAAAGATTTAAGAAGTTTTGCTTTTTAAAAGATAAATTTTTATTTTAAAAATCTTGTTGTGTGGCCCCACTGGAGGTTACAACGCATAAATTGGGAAGTCAATACATTCTATGCATTCACTTAAGAAAACCATTGATTCTTTTTAATTGACTGCACTCACTCTGCCCCTTCTGTGAAAATTTCTTAATGGAGCAAGACTTTATTAAGTCCTGATTAAAAATCTAACCATGGAAGAAGCAAAACAAAACCTTTATTTACAGCCACTTGCTATTAAACAACATTCACTGTCTAAAAAAAACACAAGCAGATTTAATGATAACTTTCCAAAGGGAATTGAATAAATGTGTCAAAAATACATTTTTGTTTACCAGGGAATAGGGAGAGGGACTGATTCCTTTTGGTGAGCTGGCAGAAATGATGGGTTGAATGGATTTCACCGTACTGTATGATTATGATGTGAATCATGGAAGCTATCCAAAAGGTGCTGGGAGAAGGCAGGTTGGACAAAGCTTCTGATGAATTTATATGGTGATTCTGTGGTGGTACAACATGTTGGAGCATTAATAAACCCATGAGATCCAGATCCTGAAGTACTATTTCTTTATGCAGCAGATTTCCTATGTTATTCTCAAGGATTAGAAGTGACAAATAAAACACAGGCATGAAATCTCATGAGTCTATTCAAGTCTTAAACTTTCAGGACAATTGGCTGGCTAACATCTGGTCTGGCAATTTAAAAAACTTCATTCAGGAGACATGGGCATTGGTGGCTAGGCCAGCATTTGTTGACCATCCATAACTGCCCTGGAGAAGGGGTAGTGTGGTCCTTCTTAAGTCACTACAGTCTTTGGGGTGCAGGGACACCAACAGTGCTACTAGGAAGAAGACCAGTGACAAGAAGCAGCAGTATAGTTCCAAGTCAGGAAGGTGAGTGGCTTGGAAGGGAGCTTGGTGCAGAGGGTGGAGTTCACATGTTTTGTCCTTCTAGGTGGTAGGTGTTTATAGGTTTGGAAAGTGTTATTGGGTTAGTCTTGGAAAGTTACTGGAGTGCATATTGTAGATGGTACATGGCTGCTACCATTGTGCATCGTTGGGAGTGAATGTTGAAGATGTTGGATGGGGTACAGTTCCAGTGAGTTGTTTTGTTCCGGGTAGGTGTCGAGCATTTTGCATATGGAAACTCTATTGGAACTGCAATCATCCAGATAAGCGGAGAGTATCCCATCACAATCCTGACTTGTATCTTATAAATAATGAGGTTGGTTGGCTCGCCGAGCTGGTTTGTTGTTTTATTTTTTTGCAGACGTTTCGTTACCATGCTTGGTAACATCCTCAGTGCAGCCTCTGATGAAGCATTGGTGTATTTTCCCGCCTAGTTTTTAAACTCTGGGGTCCGTTGAGGTGGATTGCCTCACTTCCGGGTTTCCTTCGTAGTGGAATGTATATGGGGTGGAGTTCAATGTGTTTATTAATAGCATGCTTCGTGGAGTGCCATGCTTCCAGGAATTCTCGTGCTTGTCTCTGCCTATCCTGTCCCAGGATCTTGGTGTTGTCCCAGTCGAAGTCGTGGTTCTTCTTGTCCGTGTGGATTGAGATGAGTGAGTATTGGTTGTGTCTTTTTGTAGCCAGTTGGTGTTCACGTACTCTTGTTGTTAGTTTCCTTCCTGTTTGTCCGATGTAGTGTTTCTCACAGTCTCTGCAGGGGATTTTGTAGATGACATTGGCCCTGCCCATGGCGAGGAGTGGGTCTTTAGTTCGGGTGAGCAGTTGTCGTAGGGTTGACGTGGGTTTGTGTGCCACTCTGATGCCCAGCGGTCATAGGAATCTTGTGGTGAGTTCTGACGTGTTCCTGATGTAGGGTAGTGTGATGAGTGTGTCGGGGCGTGTAGAATCTTTCTGCTGCTGTTCTTGTAGGCATCTTCTGACCCAGTTCTTTGGATATCTGTTATCCTTGAACACTTGGAAGAGGTATTCTTCTTCCTCTTGGCATAGTTCCGTGTTGCTGCAGTGTGTTGTTGCCCTTTTAAATAGTATTCGCACGCAGCTTCGTTTGTGTGTGCTGGGATGGTTACTATTGAAGTTCAGTACCTGGTCTGTGTGTGTGGCTTTATGGTGTACTTTCGTTTGCAGTTCCCCATTTGTCTTGCGCTCTACCATGACATCCAGGAATGGGAGCTGTTTGTTCTTCTCCTCCTCTCTGGTGAATCTTATTCCGGTGAGGGTGTTGTTTATAAGTTTGTGTGTCTCTTCTAATTTGGTCCCTTTTAATGATGACAGAGGTGTCGTCTACGTAGCATATCCACAGTTTGGATTTGTGGGAGGGCGGTCCTTTCCTGTCTTTGCATCACTGCTTCTGCTATAAGTCCGGAGATAGGTGATCCCATGGGTGTCCTGTTGATTTGCTCGTATGTGAAGTGGGTGGTCAGGCATAGGTCCAATAGTTTGAGCATGTTGTCCTTGGAGATGGTTTCACTGGGGTCGTGTTCTTGTTCAAGTAGTGTTGTCATTGTTTCTCTTGCTAGTGGTATGTCTATTGATGTGAATAACCCTATTCACGAGTCTTCAGTAGTATTGCGAGAAAGCTGTCAGGACAAATTGTATTTGGCATATGCAGTGTCTTCAGCCGTTCCACGATATCGCATGGAATTAATCAAGTTTTTTGAAGAATTGCATGTGTGATACTGGGCATCTTAGGAGGACGCTGAGATGAACCATCCACTTGCAGTTCTGTTTGAAGATGGATGCAACTATTTCTGTCTTGTCTTTTGCACCGATGTGCTGGGCTCCCCCACCATTGAAGAGTTGATATTTATGGAATCTCCACCTCCTTTTTAGTTGTTCAGTTGTCCAAAACTAGTTACGTCTGGATATTGCAGGACTGCAGAGATTAGATTTGTACCAATGTTTATGGGATTAATTAGCCCTGCTCATTCTGTGCGGCTTTCTGCATAATAATCTAAAACAATTAAACTCCTTTAGTATCGCACTGAATTGTCCGTCAAGATCAAATGTTCAAATCCTGGAATGGGACTTAAAGGCAGGAGGGGTATCGATAAATCAAGCTCATAAATTACAAAATATCATAAGGATCAGATCAGAAAAATAAAACTCTGCATGTTCAGCTGCTTTGTCAATGATGTGACCTCCAGCATAAAGTTAGAAGTTGGGATGTTCCTTGATGATTGCACAATATTCAGGACCTTTTGCATCTCTTCAGATAGGGAAGCAGTCCATGTCCAAATGCAGTAAGACCTGGACAATATTCAGGTTTAATTTGATAAATAATAATTCATGCCACAAAGTGCCAGGTAATTGACCCTCTCTAACGAGAGAATCTAACCATTGCTTCTTGACAATCAATGCAATTACTATTGCCGAATCCTTCAGTGTTGACATCCTGAAGGTAATCATTAACCACTGAACTGAACTAGCCATCTAACTACAGAGGCTACAAAGGTCAGAGTCTCGGAACTCACTTCCTGACTCCCCAAAACTTCTCTACCATGGATAAGGCACTAACCAGGAGTGTGATGGAATAATCCATACTTCCATGGATGAGTGCAGATCCAACCA